TTTAGGTTTACTTAGATATATGTCTGAGTTCTTTTTCTTAGTTTTAGATTTAAATGATAAAACTTTTTTTCGACTATATAAGGAGTTTTTGTTAAATTTAATAAAGATAAGAGCAAGGTCTCACCTTTAACATTAAAAAAAAAAAATAAATAAACAAAAAATTTATTATTAGCTATATATAAATATGTAATACTTGTTCTTTAATTAGTTAATATTAATATAATATATATGATTATAGTTACACATTTTGATTGGTTAATAAGATATTTATTTCAGTAAAAAAATCTTAACTAGAACCACTAGAATACTGAAAAAATCTATATGTTTAGTAAAAGTTCTAGCTTCTAATTAACAATATTGATATAGATTATCAAAAACTTAATATATAATCTATATAAAACAAAAATATTTTGACAGGTTTACTTTAAGAATAAAGTGGTTTTAAAGCATATTTGATAATTAAGAATAAAAAAAGAATTAGAAGTTTCATATTATAGAATTAAGAATATAATTAAAAAGTTTAAATAGATAACTTTCTAGTTAAATTGCAAGTATAGTGGTTAATATAGAACCTAGGACAGGCAACTTAAAATAGACAACCAAAAGTTATACAAGTGGCTACTTGTACTTTTGTCTATAGACCAAAAAGTTAAAATAGATAATCTTCTAGTTAGGTTGCAAGTATAATGGCTAGTATAAAACCCAGAATAAACTACTTAAAATAAACAACCAAAAGTTGCATATGTGGCTAGTTTTACATTTATTGTATTTCAAAATAAAATCTTCTGATAAAAAGATATAGCCAAAGAGATTACTTTAATACAAAAAAAAAAAAGTAAAACCATACTACAATATATATATATACAGTCTTCCCCCTTTATAGTCACCCCCTATATAAGCACATCATATAAAAACCTCTTTATAAGCACATTTATTTTAAAACCAACTATTATAAACATATAGAAAAAAAACCTCTATATAAGCACAATACTGTATAAGCATATTTTTTAAAAAAAGTTACTATGATCCCGACAGTGTGATTATAGAGAGGGAAGACTGTATATTAAATTATATATACAGTCAGACCTCTCTAAATACATATTCTCTAAATGCATAGTCTCTCTAAATGCATGGCCTTGTTTGGCCCCAACTCATATGACACTTATAGATTTTTACCTCCCTAAATGCAATACCTCTCTAAATGCAATATTTATTGGCTGCCCGAGGCTATGCATTTAGAGAGGTCTGACTGTATACAGTATACTTTTTAAACTTATCATTTTATTATTGCTATTGAAACCATGTTATATGGCGCAAAATCAATCAGATTTCAGGATCAGGCGTAACGTAACACGATCAAAAAATTCAAATCTACATAGAAAACCACCTTTTGTGCTCTAACAAAGAGATTTCCTTGAGCGATTTTGCTATATAAGCGCCTAAACCCTAACTCTGCTCACCCTAACATAAACAAAAATTTTGTCGATACAGAGATGATAGGTGACATATCACACAAGACTTTATTCTATATAAATATGTATTATAAAATTAGCATATTCGTAATTAACCAACGTATTAGAAAAATAATAATTAAAACAGGTTGATAATAACATATTGTAAAGTCATTTTACTCTTGCACCTCGTGATTTCTCAATTTGAATAATCCGTATTTATATCATTACCAAGAAATTAGCTATAGTATTGCAGTGTTGTTGTCAACAATTTTACAAGGATGATTCATTTTATTAACTACATCATTATTGTTAAATTACAAAATTCCTGCGTAAATACAATATATAATACATTTCAATTAATTTCAAAACTCACGGATATAAGATTCTTCAAACTTCTAGGAATTAATTTTAACAGAAATAACTGTAATATGGCAATACAACTAATTTTTGACATTGATAATGTAATAGTGATAGATTTCCCTGTTTTGACTCTAAAAACAAGTTAATGTTAACGTTGATAGTGTAGATTAAGGTTGATTAAAATGTACAAGTTCTAAGTTTATACATGTTAGTACACCTTTATTATATATAAAAAAAGTAAACCTATTACATGATGAAAGACTAAAACTGAAGAAGGGGCCAATGAAATTCCTGAACTAACAACAGGGGCTAATAATAAGTTCGGTGAGTATGTATGATTTGGTCTGCTATATGTTCCATATCTAAAAATAAGAATAAAATAAATGAATATATTGATTCTTTTGATATTTAAAAAGATAAATTCGATAAATTATAATACCCGATTGTTTCAAAGAATCTTCTTAACCTTGGTCCAATAGCACCAGTAAGTTGTCCATTGGGGAATCTACCTCCAAGTTTAATGTCCTGCTTTAGTGACTCTCCTGGAAGTAATTGATATCTCATCAGGAAGTCGCTAGTATTAGTATATCTCGTATAATCCACATGATTTATACTATTGTACGGATCGAACACATTTGATGACGTATCGACCACGAACAAATCACTTATATTAAATGGACCCTGTGTACTAGGATTATGGCGAGAAGTTAAGTTCCAATTAACTAACCCAAGGGTTAGTGGTTGTGTTGATATATTCATCATCTCTTTGGCAATATCATATTGTGGTGATGACATAAACTTTTGTTGAAAATCATAATAGCTTCCCTTAATATCACCTTCATCAAAAAATTCATTCAATGACGCAGTCTTATTCGAAACGTATTGTCCTGTATCAGTTAATACTAAATATTTATCAAATATATTTTCTCTAAATCCTCTCCAAGTAACTTGTTGATTAGGATCATAACGATCTTCCCATAAAAATTCATAATCCTCTTCTGTTATCAACATAGGAGTAATATATTGTGGAGAATCATCGAGTGACCATGTGCTCCATGAAGTTTGGAAACCCAGTCCATGACACATTTCATGAAGAACCAAACCTAAAAAGTCATATTGATTATATTCAATCGGTGGATCATCTTTGAACCAATAATTAAGACCAAGATTGAATTCGCCATAGATATCTGGAGTTTTATATTCAGGATTAGAAGAAAAGTTGAATTGTTTGACCAAGGATTGGGGATAGAGCCGTTCTACACCATCATTATCTTTTAACAAATATAATAACGTCGGTTGGGCGTATCCTTTAAGTAGAACGCCAGAATTGTTAAAGAAATTTATTTTTGTTTTATAATTAATTTAAACAAAAAAAAACTGTTTATGCTTACCTGGGTCATATGCATAGTCTCCATTGCAAAGTGGGTCGTCTGCACAAAAATCATAAGCACTAATATTGACAAAAATTGATGATCTCAAGTATAAAACTGAGGATAAGATGCTTCCTGCATCTGAAAATGCTTGGACGACTTTTCCACAAAGTGTTGGATCATTTGATTGACATGCTATACTAAATATAAAGTTCTTTCCGCTATTCGATGGAAATTCCAAATTACTTGTAGAGGCGTTAGCGTTACTAGTGCTATTAGTGGGAATATAATCATCTGCATCATCATCATCTGTGTGATTGTATTTTGTTGAATGACTGACAGGTTTTGCATATCCTGTTGGCCTTGGAATTTGTGTATCATGTCTTGTTTTAGAACCTTCTATTTGAGGTTTTCTGAACAATCTCTTTACAAGATTTCGATCAACAGGTTTTGGATCATCACAATTTGTTCCAACAACAATGCTTCGCTTGCGTGGATTTTGATACCGAAAGCATTGAGTTGATTGTATAACACATATATTTATGGATATTATTATGAAAATAACTAATGTTAATAAAGAGGTCCAGCGCTTCATACCTTTTTATGATTATGCGCTAACGTTCTAATGATGGCGATAAAGTGATTGATAAAGCATACATATGATAAACGTTTTTGATAAAGGTCGCATGAGATGAGAATTAAAAAATAATTTGAAAATTTTTTTTTAATAGACAGTCATAAGATAAAATGTCTCGAAGAACTTTTATTTAGAAACCGTTCCCGGAATCTGGAAAATGAGGAATTTAATAAACAATTATTTAAATCCGATTTAGAAATCCTCATCTCCCTGCGCCGACCAGACTTAAAAATAACAGTTGTTTATTTGTAGAACAACGCTAACCTTAATGGAGGTATGTAATCGTAACTTTCCGTTCCCCATAATGAATATTCCTTATTTCAAATTTTAATCATCACATATAAGGAATGTGAATCCTAAATTTAATTGATTAGCTTAATTCGGAGATTCTCCTCAACACTAATAATAAATGCAACAAATGGGGTGCTACCTTAAAAAAATTGCATCTATTTATGTAACATTGCTACTAATTGAACCAAAAAATTGTTGTGATAGTGACCACAACATTGCCAAGATTCGATCACGTTATGATATTGTTTTAAAACTTCAATAATTGCCAAAGAAGTTTTTTGAGTTTAAAGCGATAATAAATTATTATTTCCCATGGATACGTAATTTTTTATTAATGAAAATCCGTAATCATTAACTAAATTAGATCAAAGATTTTCCCATGTTTACTATGAGAAAATAACGATAAACCATGCCAATCTGGCTGGTTTTCAAATTAAAAGAAAAAATTGTGTAATTTTTTATTATAAAAAATTTTTTTCAAAACCTTTCAACAATATCATTTGAAATTCTGTTTAAAAATTCAATGTCATCTTCGAAGCCTACAGTATTTAAAATAACCAAGCAAGATGACTCAACCATACGTCGTTTCACTATGCCAACATCTAACCCATCATGGGAAGAACTTTCGACAAAAGTAAGAGAAATTTTTGAAATTCCAAAACAAGTTAGAATAGGTCTAACATATTTAGACGAAGAAGGCGACGTTATTACTTTTAGTTCCGAAACTGAATTACAAGAAATTTACAATGATGAAAGAAATAGCTTGATGCAAGGCAATCACGGAGGATTGATCAGGCAAGAAACGGTTATAAATTTGGGACAGGAAGGTAATATTATTATACAAAATAATAATATTAAAAGATTTGGTTTAAAGATTTATGTAGAAAACCAAATTATTGATAATGAAATTGAGGAAATTGAGGAGGTTGATGAGAGACAAAATAGAACCAATTGTGCCCAACAATAAAATCGAATGTATAACCCCTGTTTTACTTTTTCAATAACAAAAAATTCTTTTTAGCCCTGTAAGGTTAATTTTCTGGCAAAAATCCGAAATGCCCTAAATTTACTTTTTGGCTTGCGTATATGCGTATAAATTACGAGCCATTAATTTTTGGGGCTTTGTTTTTATTTGTTTGTTTAAAATAACAGAGTTTTATTTTGTTATAGATCGATAAAGTACGATTGTTATCTAGTTTTTTTTAAAATAAACTTAATATGCAAAAATAGCATAGTGTATTGTTGGCCTTTTCTATAAAAAAAAAAAATTAATAAATTCAAAATTCAATCTTTTTTTTTTTCTTTTTTAAAAAACAAATATGCACAATAATATATAGTAGCCTAATAGGCAAACATTACCTAGTGTAACGAGACATTTTAGAAATTTTAAATAACGACAGTCTTCGGTTACGCCCTTATTTCGTAATTAATACGGAAGGATTGTAACACATCAATAGCTAATTATCGCTGTGAATGCTTAAACGTGTACGTACGTACGTACTCAACTCTGACTAGGGTCAAGTCGGGGTCTTGGTCACGTGAACGTCGATATATAATTACACTTTCGTTTGGTGACACAAAAGCAAATATGCCAATGCAGCAGCAATGTATACGTAGGATAAGCTTGAGCACACTTGTATATTAACTCTCGTACTAAATCAACCTTAATCAATTTAACCAAATAGTAGTCATGAATTTTTATGAAAAGTAGAATTCCATGTAGCTTTATTAAAAGTCAAAAGACACATCTTTTATTCTGCGATCCGTCATTTACATTCTTATACATTTTCACCTTTTCCTACCTTTCCATTACCTATAAGCTATGAAGCCTACTATGATTGGTTCGTTGACGCATAGAATATGACGGATAAGTCTGAATTTGAGACAAATCAAAAAGATGTCTCATAGTTGGTCGACCATGAGGGCAATTCTACAAGATGTATGTGTCATTAAAATTTTTATTTAGAACTTCAAATTTTCGAATATATTTACCCATGGTTGATCAATTTCACCCATATGCCTTACAATCTGTCAGAATATTTAATTTTATATTAATAGCCTATTTAACAAGTAAAAAAAAAATTCATTATTAACGTTATTACCTTTTCCATCTGCTGAAATGATAATGCATCTCCGACCATTACAGATTTACGGCAGGCTCGAGAGGCAAACATCTTTCGAACTTTTGAGCACCGAATCATTTCTCCGGGTCTTTCCGTCAGTAGAAAAATTAATTCTTCCAAATCTATAAATATTTCAATAAAACTTATAAAGATGCTGTAAACATTACATAGGATAAATATTACCTTCGACGCCAAAAATAATATCTTTACTCATTGGTTGTGATATCAATTTTAGTTTTTTTGATGTTTGAGCCTCTAAATCAACCTCTATGTCGAACCCATTTGCTTTTAAGATGTCTATGTTGTCAATGGCAACTAATTCTTGTGCAGCAGTGAGTTCCAGATACCTGGGACTAAATGTAACAAGTTATAAACAAAATAATAATAATAATAGTAATAACAACAATAATAATAATAATAACAATAATAATAATAATAATAATAGTAATAATAATAATAATAATAATAAATATGATAATACAGTAATAATAATAGTAATAATAAACATAATTGTCCAAACCTGATTAATCTCTGAGAATCAATTTTGGTGTGAAGTTGAAGTTGTTCAAAATTATATTTCTCATCTGACGCGTGTTGGTCAATGATTAACAAATCACAACCATCATCTTTATATAGTTTAGCAATAATAAATCCAAGGTTAAATTGACCAACAATTTCCATTATCGCAAAGTCATCTTTCTTTATAACCCTATTTAGTTCTTGTTCAGCAGCTTCATTGTCAGAAGAAATAATACCAGCAACGTCTTGTAAACATTTCTTGAATTTGTTTTCATTAATATGAGTTAATTTTTTCCTAATTTTGTTCCTATCATATTTAGAAATATCAAAAGTAAGTTTAAGTATCTGTCTCTCATTCATATTGACTGGCCCTGTGACAAACTCTGTAAATGAATCCTCTTGTGAAGTTTCCTTAAATTCAATCCTCGTACTTTTTGAACATTCAGATGTACTGTCGCAATCGAATGACAATTTAAGACTTTTAACTTTCTTAGAAACAAGCGATTCCTCATTTTTCACATTCATAAATTTTAAAGAGTCGATATCACTATATCCAGATGGTAATGGCTCCACTTCGCAGAAATTTGTTGTCTCATTGTAACTAACATCGAATGACAATTTAAGATTTTTAACGTTTTT